GGCAAGCACACAGGGCCGAGGAGCCTGGACCTTCCGGTTTCTGAGGCTGTAAACCAGCATGGGCGCAGACAGCCTCTTCATCCTCTCACGGAGCACCTCGTGGGCTCGAACCAACCACATGCCTCTCTGTTAGCAGCCAGGCTGGACCCCCAACCCATGCCCACCATCACTGAGCTGATTCCCACTCATGGCCACCCTCTATAGGGTTTGTGGGCCCCAACTGTGCAGCTGGCAGCCCAACCCTCCCCCAGCAGCGTCACCAGAGGCCCCTGCAGGACGAAGGACAGGTTCCCTCAAGCACAACAGATCCTTGCTTGGCAGGGGTGCCTCCTGGAACATAGCTCCCGAGACACCAACTTTGGAAAGCTGAAAGTGTCCGAGCTGAGCCCCACCCCAGGCGCCCAGCGTGAGTGCCTGCATGGCCCCCAGCCCAGGCCACCTTCCCCAAACCAAACCGGCTCAGTGGATTCTGGCTCCTGGCACTCTCTCCCCTGCTACTGACTGCCCAGAGAGTAGCAAGACTACAGTTATGCAACAGCAACGGGAATCATTTTATGCTTGGGGGTCACCACCACATAAGGAACTGGATGAAAGGGTGCTCTACAGGGTCGGAGTGGGCAGGATGGCAGTGGCCTGGTGGGATGGCAGCTGTGGAGAAGGGGGGTCATCAGATGGTGGGATAAGGAGGGTAAGGAAAACAGTGGCATCAGGATTCACGCTGTACTTGGGGCCTGAGCAAGAGGAATATGGTTGCGATGACTAATACAGTGGGGGGGAGGGCAGAAGAGCAGGGGGTAAATCGAGGACTTTAACTTGATCAAGTCAGCTGGAACTGTCTGTCAAACATTGGCGCCCTTCCCCTGAGATGGGGTGAGGCCACCTCCCACAGCACTCGGCTCCGGCAGGGCCTCCTCGGGCTGCTCAATTTGGGCAGCCCAGGAGGAAATGGGGCTGTTTTATGGTTCTATGTCTGAAAGATCTGGGGTTTCCATGCTGTCTCTGAACAAACAGACAGAAACTAACTCCTACCACCACCGGCAAACAGACACATAGGTACATACGACGTTAGCGCCCTTGAGACAGGGGTGTAGGCTGCTTCCACCAGCCGGGTGCTCAAGCCTCGGGGTTGGGGTCTAAGCCCCTTGCTGAGAATTAGAACACCTCAGGTGGCCCCCTACTTCAGGGGAGGGCCAAGTGCCCCGAGGGAAGCTGCACATGGTCACCTACCCAGCCCTGATGCTCTGAAGGGGAAAGAGGGCGAGTGAGGGGGTTACGGTGTCTTTAGGAGGGTCAGGGGGGGTTGAAGACCTAGCATTTGCCCCTGACTCCCCGAGAAAGAGCAGCAGCTCCATGCAGGAGGCACCCACGCTCGGACGCCCTGCCAGCTGTCCAGGAGGCCCTGGTGGCCAGCTCAGCCAGAGCTCCTCCTCCAACAGGGTGTGCCTGAGGCCCCAACTCCGTGTCCACACACAACCTCAGCGCCGGATCCAACCGGAAAAGGGAAGGGAAACTGTGGTCTGACCACGTGGCCAGAGGCTTCTTCAGAAGCGGGGGAGTCAGACTCAAGGTGGAATCAGAGAGCGCCAGAAACTGAAAGTCAGGCTGACTCTGGGTGGAAGGTTCTAGGCCAACAAGCTGCTTCCTTCCGTCCGCTTCAGCCCCCCACCCCGGCCCAGAGCATCTCTACAGTTCCTGTGGTCACAGCGTCTTAGCAGCAGCAGCACCGTGGCATGTTTACCAGCTCTGGTGGCCTGGGTTTCAACCCCTCTCTACCACTTCCAGGGGGATCCCTGCATGAGTTCCCACCTAGGCCCTCGCGGTCACTGTTACGCAGAGTTACTGTGTGGATTCCTTGAGCGCATACCTGGCAGGTGCTTCCTGCTGCCACCATCTCACACTCAGGACCAACCGCCCGCCATCCCACCCCGTCTGGGTAGGGCCTTTACTCTCTGCAAGGAGAGGCCCAGCATACTCGGCGTCATGCACCCCCGCAGCCACGTGCAGAGCCCCAAGCACACACAGGGAGGGAGACTTCAGCAGGCCAGGCAGTGCGGGGTGCAGTCAGGACAGGGGACAGGCAGAGAGGAGGCAGGCCACAGGCTGTGTGCAGTCACCGTGGGGCAGGGAGCACACGCGGTGGTGAGTGGCCCGGGCGCTGGGCTCCTTACCTCCCCTGCAGGACCTCGGAGCACCCGGGCTGCGTTTCCCCCAGAAGCCGGAGGCATGCTGGAGAGGGGAGAGAGCGGAAGAGAGGGGACAGTGTGTACTGAGCCAGTTTACAGGGAGAAGAACTGAAACGGAAACCCAAGCAAGGACCCAAGCCCCAGTGAAGGTCACCCCCAAGATGGGTCTGTGTCAGGGGAGCAGAGTAGGGGTGGGGAGAGAGAGCAAAGGGAGATGACACTCCAAAACGCCCCCTCCCCCCACACACACAGAGACTGGACCATCCCAGAAGGAGCGGTGGTTTCCTGGGCGGCAAGAGCAACTTCTCACACCAGAGAAGGGCTCAAGAACGCAGGGATGGGCAGACAACCCCCCAGAACCCCACCAGGACAGGGGGGGCTGGGGGGCATCACTGCTTATGGGCTGGGGGGCATCACCCCTCTGGGCCCACCATCAACAGCGTCCACTGCCCCATGGCTCCAGGCCCCTGGGGGGCGGACAGTGTGGGTATGGGTTGCGGTGACGTCTGCCCAACGTGGAGAAGGTTAAGTAAAGGCCCCGAATGGTGCACAGAGGAACTGAATGGTGCACAGAGGAATTAGGAAAATGGCAAATGAGTTGTTAAATATATTTCGCCTTAATAGCAAAAAAGAACCCAAACATCTTAATAGAGTCAGAAGAGGGTCCACTCTGCACAGATGTCACAGACACCCCATGGGGACCCAGCGGAGACATGTGAGGGGGCAGTGAGGGGAGGGGGCTCCTCACATTCCAAGACCAAAGTCAGAGGTACTTAACTCCGCTGAGCCTCAGTTTCCCTACACTTAAGACGGGGAGAATGTTCCATCTGCAACAGAAAGGAGGGTGACGCAGACCCCGCGCTACACGGACACATGCGTTTCTTGACCTTTCTCTGGGGGCAGCTTTATGCTGGGATTGGGAGCTGGTCAAACATCCAACATTCCTGGCAACATTCTGGGCAGAGGGGCTCCTGGACCTCACTGCCAGCAAGGCCTACCTAGGCCAGGCTCTCTGATCCCAGCTTCAAGGGAAGAGGCACCTGTCTGGGGTGGGGCTTATACTAAGATTTAACACATGCAGGGTCCCATCCAATAGGGGCCATTCACTGTCCTGCTGGGGACACGTTTACATCACTTGCCCTATATTTCCCTTGCCCCCACCCTGGGGACCCTGGGACCCTCCAGGGCAGGAGCAGCTCTGACCCGGCCAATCCTCAGCCTGTTCACAGCACCCAAGGACAGCCAGCCAGACGCGTCCACTTCTGCAGGCCTTTCTCAAGCTGGTGACGCAGCCCAGCTGATTCCTACTGGCCATGAAATCCCGGTCAGGCCGGCAGGTCAGTCCTGATCTGACAGATCTGGACATTGGGGCTGAGGAAAGTGAAGAAATGACTTGTCCAAAGGCACACAGCTGGGAGATCAAGAGAGCCAGCATCTCCGCCTGGCACCAGCCGCTCAGCTGGAATGTGGTGGGGCTGGTGTCCATCCTGGCTGGCCAGGGCTCAGTGCCACCTGGGATTGAAGGTCTACAACATCACCCCTCTGGGCCCACCATCAATAGTGTCCACTGCCCCCTGCTTCAGGACCCTGGGGAGTGGGGGTAAGAGCGAGACTGGCTGGCCACCGAGGGGAGGAGCCCAGGGTGGGAGTGAGGCGAGGGGTCCCCCAGCTACCTTTGATGACAAAGGCTTCCGACAGCAGTCGCATCTGGTAGAGGGGCTTGTTCTCCACGGACATGTCGTCGAGCCCGGCTCGGGCGTACATGCTGATGGTGTCACGGTAGGAGCCCTCCAGGTAGTGCAGCTTGCCCAGGATCAGCATGGCCTCACGCAGGTACTGCGGCTGGAAGCACAGGACCCAGTGAGCAGGCTCCTGCCCCGCTCCACGCAAAGCCTCGGAGAAGCACCCCTGCTGAGCCAGGAGCCTAAGAACCTGCTAGACCAGTGGTTCTCAACCTGCCCGATGCCATGACCTTTTCTTTCATACAGTTCTTCATGTGATGGTGACACCCCCAACTGTAACATTACTTTCGTTGCTACTTCATCATTGTCATTTTGCTGCTGTTATGAATCGGGCAGCCCCTGTGAAAGGGCCGTTCGAGCCCCATAGGGGTTGTGACCCACAGGTTGAGAACCGCAGTGCTAGACGTTCCCTGCTGCTCCGCTCTCACCCCACCCCCACCCCTGTCTTCTTGGACACTCTAGCTCATGCTGCTACATCCCTTCTGCCCACAGCCCTGGGTCTACACCCCAGGGCCTCTCTACGAACTTGCCCGAGCCCTCCATTGTTCCCTGGGCTATCTTGTGCTCCCAACAAAACTCCAGGCAACTTGCTGCCGAGCCCTATGCTTCCCCATCCTGATGGCCCCACAGGCTCTGGGGTGGCTGCATCCCAGGAGGTGAGCACTTGGTCTGAACTCAGGCGGGAAGGGAGGGGCTCGGGGGCTGGGGGGTGGAGGGAATGAGGGGCAGGTCAGGGTTGGGGAGGCCTAAAGCTTGTACAATTTAAGGATCCTCTTGAAGAATGCAAATGGAAAATTACATCATGAAAACCAAACACACTGCCTTTCAGGAGATTCTGACTTACAGCGACCCTATCCAGGGTTTCTGAGGCTGTAAATCCTGATGGGGACTGACAGCCTCCTTTCTCCTGTTGAGTCAGAGGTGGATTGGAACCACCGACCTTGTGGTTAGAAGTCAGAGCCTAACCCACAGCGTCAGCAGAGCTCCTGAAACACAGAGATGTGCTTGTACCTAAAATGGTCTGTCCATGCATGTGGGAGGCCTGTACCTGAGGTCCCTGGGGAAGCCGCCAGCCCGTGGCCACTGTGGGACCTTGGCGGGGGCAGAACCCAGCACCACGTGGGACAGCCGGGCCGCTTGTCTTATCAGGAGTGGGGGAGAGTTCAGAAGCAAGAATGCCAAAGCACCTAAAGTCCCGTTTTCCCTCCCCTCCCTTCCTAAGTGCGGCTATGGCCACATCTCCACCCAACTCAAGAGCTCTCACAACCTCCCTTAGGCCCGAGGAGGCCTGGTCACCCCACCCCTAGCTCGGGCACTGCTCATAGCCAGAGCACCCGTGGGGGTGGGCCTGTGGCTGGGAGGCCTGGCATGGGTATGGGCCAGCCCTGCCAGTTCGGGAAGCTTTGCCCCCATGCCCTACCTCCATCCTTGTGCTCAGCAGGCAACTCACCTGCGGGGCTGGCTCTTGACACTTCGCCTGCCACACAGGTGTCCACTGTCTCCTCCTAGTCACAACTCAGGACCCCACCCCTAGCCCTGGCCCTGGCAAGAAGGGGCTGCCCTGTCCCCCAGAGTGGGGGTGAGATAATCGTCTGGGGTTCTCCACTGTTCCCCACTGTTTATTTCTCAGAACTCAATGACGAGGGCTGGAGCAGGCAGGGCCAGACCCCTGGGAAGCTGGAATCATTGGCTTTTGTAACTACCTTTTCCTTCCCCTTCGCCTGGGTTCACACAGGCCCCAAACCAAGAACAGCTTCCTCCTTCCCTTTGGCCTATTCAAAGCCTTCCACCCTCTGGGGTCTCACTAGGCCCACCCTCCTCCTTCTCGAAGGCCCCCTCCCAGTGTGCTTCCATCCACTGAAAGAACTGCTTGGCCCAGATGTGTTTGACTTCATGCTCCCGAAGCAGTGTTTCAGGGCCACTTTGGGACTTCCCAAAGAGGTCACCCACTCCCCAGGCCAGGACAACCGAGTTCCAAGCTGGACACGGACTGCCATTCCCCTCACTGGCTTCAAGCCATGGCCAAAGGTCCTTGCTACTTGGGCCAGGTGTGGGCAAGCGCTCACCGCCCACTCGGCCCCACCACCACAGCCCTGCCAAGAGCGGAGGGCAGCAAAGTCCAGGAAGGAGCTTTGAACTTTCCTTGAGAAAGGAGCTAGATAAATACAGGGCATGAGTAATTGTTATTATTACCCGGTTCTGCTACAAAGAGGGGAAAGGGCAGCTCCACTCAGAAGGACACCTTTGAGGGTTGATGACAGGGTGTGACTGACGGTGGTTCCTGGTAGAAGGAGGACAGATTCCACCAGTCTGGGGGTGGGGTGGGGGGTGGGGTAGGAGGTGGAATGAAGGACAACCCACTCGGTGGCTCCCCAGCTAAATGGCTACATCTACAAGGCGGCCTTGAACCTGAAGGTCCAGCCACCTTGCTGTTCGGTCTTATGGTTTTCTTGCTTTTAATTTTGCCCTTGCTTGGTGACATGGTGGGTTTCATGTCCAACGATGAGTCACAAAGGCAGTAGTTCAAAACCACCAGCCACTCCGTGGGAGAAAGATGAGGCTTTCTAGCCTCGAGAAGATTTACAGCCCTGGACACCCACAAGAACAGTCATACCCTGTTCTACGGGGTCGTCACAGTCGGAATGAGCACACGCTGTGGGGGGCCGGGCATCTGAAGGTAAGTGTTCTTGGTCTGGGATGACGTCTGTGTGTGGATCTGGCGTGTCACCTAGTCTTCCTGGGCTTCGGTGTCTCTGCCAGTGGACGGAGAAGCATGGTTTCACACAGACTCCCTCCCCGGGTAAAAGCTGAGAACAGATGAGGAAATAGTCCCATTGCTTCTAAGTCATTACTTAATTTCCTCTCCAGTATTTCAGAAGGCAGCAAATGAGAAGAGGAAAAATAATACATAGATAGGTACAGCTTAATAAAAATTTTTAAAAGGCAATACAGCTTGGGGTCCAGAGGTTAACCGGCTGGGGCCTGAGTTCTGCACCTGGCCCGTGGGGCTTGGCTAAAGTGACTTAACTGTCTCAGGTCAGTTTCTTCACCTGGAAACGGGGTCAGGGACGGGAACGCCATCTCGGGTGACTATTAGGAAATGCCTGGCATTCCCTGGGTCAGGGAGGTAAGGGCAAGTGGCTTGTTTCCAATAGCGTCCCCAGAACAGACTCCCACAGGCCCTCACGAGCCCTTGGATGGGTCCTGGGGGCCCCTGCCCTCCACTTCTCTTCCTCATTCCATCCAAGCGACTCAAGGCTTGACTTGTCAGTTTTCACCTGCTGCCGAAGAAGAGCACCTGGAGACACACCCTGACTTTCGGGGGTAAGAGAGGGAAGCCCGAGTCACGTTAAGGCTGTATTTTGCCTGGTCAGCGCGCACCCTGGAAACCAGCATCTGCCTTGGGAGCACTGGGCAAATTCTCCGTGCAGTGGGTCCCTCTGGGTGTCTCTGACCAAGAAAGCCTGGTAACCCTTCAGTGTACTAAACAGACTGTGGGTGGCAGACAGACAGACACAAACTCACCAGCACCAAGTTAATTCCAACCCATAGCAGCCCTACAGGGCAGAGTAGAACAGCCCCGTTGGGGTTCCCACACTATACATCTTTACAGGAGCAGCAAGCCTCATCTTTCTCCCACGGAGTTGCTGGTGGGTTTGAACTGCTGACCTCGTGGTGAGCAGCCCAATAGGCAACCCACTCCGCCCCAGGGCTCCTAACTTGGCAGAAGAAACCATTCCCCACACGATACACGTGAGGGCGTTCAGCCAACGTGCAGAGTGAGGTGCCGGCAGGCAGTGAGCACCGAGAAACGGCGTCAAGTGAAAGACAGCAGGTTGGTGCTGAGGCCGCCTGTGACCCCACCAGGGAGGTTTCCAGAGTGTTCAGGAGCTGGGGACTCCGCCAGGGGTAAGCCGAGCTCAGCACGGGGTGGGGGGCGGGGGGTGGGGGGGAACTGGGGCTGCAGAGGCATGCCATGTCTTTTATTTAGTATTTAAATACTTGTTTGCTGGTTGAAGTTTGTTTCAAATTTTTTTTTATCAAGCATACATCCCTGTTTTGAAAAGCAGAATCCATTCTGTTTTATTAATAAAGGGGGGTTTTGATGGGAAGGAGCTTGGAACCCACCCATTGAGTCCAGCCCTTTCGATTGGCAGATGAAGAACCAGAGAGGTCATGAGGTCAAGGGACATGTGCCGCATCTGAACCCAATTTGAACTACCTGAACTACAGAGATCCCAGTCAGCGTTGGGGGCGAAAACCAGCAAGCTTCCCTGGGGCCACCACGGTCAAGCTACTAGCCAAAAGGCCAGCAGTTCAAATTCAGTTTGGAAGGAAGGTCTGGCTGACAAACCACTCGGATAGTTCTGCTTGTCCTCCTGGGGTCACCGAGTGGGAACTGACTCCACAGCAGTTCCTAGTACACATCCCCCGACAGCACCCTCTCCCCTCAACCCCCACACTGCGCACACAGTAAACCCCAGTTTGGGGCCTGGCCTTCCATGCCTCACTCTCTGGTCCCAAAGGACCTTTACAACCTCATGACCCAGCATGTCCCTTTCCCTCACTGCCCTCGAGCCAATGCCGGCTCATAGCAACCCTGCAGGACAGGGCAGAACTTGCCTCTGTGGGTTTCTGAGACGGAATCCTGACTGGGAGAAACCCTCATCTTCCTCCTGCCGAGCTGCTTGCTTGTGGTTCCGAACGGCCCGGCTTTAGTGTCTGAGCCCAACATGGAACCACGATGCCCCCTCCCCCTTAACTCCTGCTACCCCAATCTGCTTCCTGTCTCCCGCAGGAATGCTTCATTTAGTGTCCACGGTGCTTCCTTAGCCTGGAGGGCCCAGCCTTCTCTCCCTGTGTGCCACAGCTACCCCCAGCTTGCACAGCACCCAGCTTGCACAGCGCCCAGCCTGCACACCATCACCCCTGAGGGGTCCCTCCTCGCACACACCACCCCTCTGACATGCACTAGGTCCACTCTGGACCGTGACTATTTATTTGTTGATAGGACTTATCTTCCCAGTGGACCTGCGCCCCACTGGGGTAGCGGAGTCCATGCTAGAGGGCTCTGTGGCCCTCACAGCACATGACACAACGCCTTGCATGGACTAAGTGCGGGATCCAATAATCAAGTCTGGAGCGCCTCTTGCGAAATCGCTTCCTCTTTGGGGCTCCGGTGACCTATCTCCATCCTTAGGACCGCTCTCACACACTGTGATCCAGCGAGTACAGGAATCCCAGGAGAGCTTGTCAGAATGCAGATGCTGATTCGGAGCCGGCATTTCTGACCAGACCCGAGGACGCCCACCCTGTGAGTGATCAGACTGTGCTCTGAGAAGCTGTAACGGTGTCCCCCTCAGGAGTCCCCATCGTGGCACAAGTGACTAAACACTCAGCTGCTACCCAAATGGTTAGTGCCTCCCCTGCCCCCGGGCACCCAAGGACAGGGCTAGACGTCTGCTTCTGAAGGTCAGCTGTGGCGCACAGCTCACCAGGCACCCATGGGGCCCTGACAAGTGGGGATCCACGGGGCTCGCAACTGCCTTTTGCTTTGGCTTTTAATATTCTCTTCAGTACCTTGCACACAGTAGGTGCTCCACCAATTCCCATGGACTTACACTGGCTTGTCTTATGATTGAGCCCTCTGTCATGCGCCAACCCTACACACATGCTGACTAGACCACAGGCGTCCTAGTTCCCCGTGGCCCTCTAAGAGCCAAAGGGCCAGGGACACAATAGGTCAGCCCACGCCTGCCCAGCAGATGCATAAACGTGACCCCATATGTCACTGTCAACTTCCTAGCAGTCAAATTAAAAATGATAAAAATCGGTGCAATTAATTTGAATCATGTTTTATGTCATCCAGTGGCGCTGTGGGTCAGGCCTGGGGCTGCTCGCCTTGGGGCTGGCAGTTCAAGCCCACCAGCTGCTCTGTGGGTGAAAGATGAGACTGCCTGCTCCCATTATGATTGACAGCCTGGAAAACCCTATACAGAGTCATGGCCCTGGGGGCGTAGTTGGTTATGAATTGAGCTACGAACTATCAGGTCAGCAGTTTGAAACCACCAGCTACTCCTCGGGAGAAAGAGGAAGCTTTCTCCTCCCACAAAGACTCAGTCTCGGACACCCACGTGGCAGTTCTACTCTGCCCTATGTAAGGGTCGCTAAGAGTAGGAAGGGCCCTGACGGCAGAAATGAGTAGGAATCAACTCTATAGCAGTGGGTGTGGCTTTGGCTTTTTATACCAAAAAAAGAAAAATTATTTCTCCTTATAATCAGTATGGAAAACTCTGGACAGTTTCCGTCCTGTTTTATACAAAGCCTTTGAATCTCCGTGCATGTCTTACACTGCAGGCACCTGTTGAGGGAGGTGCACGTCAAGGGATTACAGGCCCTTGGGACTATGGCTACTGTGCTAACAGCACAGGGTCAGGCTTGTACTCGAGTCACAGACTGGCCTGGGGAGGGGGCTCAGGACTCACCAACAGCTTCCCGTGGCTAAAGATACTGCTCAGATAATCCTTGGCTTCCACCAGCCTCGGTTCGTTCTTCTCCAGCAAAGGGATGGAGTCTTTTAGCTTGGTGTGGTTCTCCTTCAAATACTGCTCCAGGAGGGACTCGGCCAGAAGCAACTTCCCCAGGTCATCTGAAAGACAGGGCAGCGAGGTCAGGATCCCCAGAGCAGGGGACTGTGGACAGTGGTACACACCCCAGACCCACCACCCGTCTCGTCCCCACGGACAACTCAGATCTGAGCAGAGAAATCAAGAGCCCCTTTCCACAAACGCTGTTTTCTTCAGAGTGACAGGCATGGTTACTGGACCCCTGTCCACTGGCAAAGTTCCCCTTGGGGGTGTGTTTTCTGGTTGGGGTGGCAGAGTTCTCAGGACTGGAGGCAAATTCCCAGAGTTTCAAACATGGGACAAAACCATGCCTGTGGCCCTGTGATCCCAAGACGGAATTCTCCTCCACCAGCTGAAGAGGGAAAACAGAGGAGGCAGCCTACCGATGCATGTCTACACGCTCCCCACTTCTGAATCACCACAGCTGATCTTCTCTACCTCGAAGGCACTTTGAGATGACCCCTGGGATATGCTGGCAGCCCAAGCAAAGAATTACGTCAGGCAGAAGGGTGTCGCTGTGCAGTGACATGTCCAGAGAGTTCTCACACATGCCTGATGTCCCTCACCTGCAGACATCCCCCCTGGCCAGCGATACCACGCTGCTTGGTTTCAGAGGCCCCCTCATGTTCCAGCTGCTGCCAGCAGAGGGGAGACTCAGGGTGGGAGGTGGGGTTCAGCATGCAGGATCTGAGGTCTGGCCCCACCCCAGGGGCTTTCTGACAGCCTTTAGTCACTGTGTTTTGTGTGGCTGGCTCATTCCCGTGCCGATCGCTTGGGATGAGAAACAAAAACATCTATCCTTGAGGCGGCCATTTGTGTATCGGCTTTGGAGAAATGTCAGTTAAAGCCTCTTGCATGGTTTGTAATCGGGTTGTTTTGTCTACTGTGGAGTTTCATAGATACATCTTGGGGACTAGACCCTTCTCAGATACAAGCTTTACGAATATCCGTCCCATGTTGGAGGCTGCCTCATCACTCTCCTGACAGTGGTCCTTACTCCGACTGATTTGGGGGGCAGCCCCGTGTCCCTGAGAGCTGCAGGCACCTGCCACATTTGTTCCCACCGAGCTTGGATCCACGCAACTCTGCACCCACCAGCCTGTGATCCTCCTGCGCTCCGAACCCCCTTGCTGCATCACCCCCTGTAGCTACATGATTCTGAAGAGGGACGGATGGGCTTAGGAGCTTGCGGTGGACTGGGCAGGGATGCCTACTTGATATATACATACTTCTTGATATAAAGCTCTTTTTGAAACATATATGCATGTCACTGGATTTGTTTCTCTAGACAACCTGCCTAGCACAATCAGATTTATGGAAAATACCAATCAAAAAATAAATAAACAACGCCACCATCCCATAAAAGATACCTGTTTTAGAACCCACTTAGATGCTGTCATCAGCATGGAATCCCACCCTAAGTCAAGGACCACCTTTCGTCGCAAAATCCCTCAACACCAGACTGCCTAGCAAACCAAATCCAACACTAGAGTGAAAGGATTGCACACTCTGTCCACACGGGATTTATCCCACGGACACAACAGCGGTTCAAGACAAGAAAATACATCAATGTGACACATATTCATAAATCAATCCCAGACCAACACCACAGCCACCTAATTAATTCTGACTCGTGGAGACCCTGCAGGATAGAGACCTGCTTCCTTAGGGCTTCCAAGACTATAGCTCTTTACAGTCTTATCTTTCTTCCTTGGAGTGGTTGGGAAGCTCGAACCACTGACCTTTCAGCCAGCAGCCGAGCTCTCCATCGCCGAGTCGCCTGGGCTCCTCGGAGAGTACTGGCAATGCTGCTCGGTGCCTCTGAGTCGGCTCCAACTCACAGCGACCCCGTGTACAACAGAATCCAACACTGCCCATCCCGGCCCCATCCTCACAAGGCACGGACTCAGCAGCAAGTAAGAGGGGACAAAAATGAACACACACAAGATCCGTCGTTTGTAGACATCAGCAATAAGCCATCTGTGACATTATTCTGAGTCAAAAGGGAATTATGAGAACAATTCCACCGACAATAGCATATGAAAGAACAAATGCCTAGAAATAAGTTTAATCCAGGGATGAAAGACTTACACTGTGGAAACTGTAAGACAACTGAAGGAAATCGAAGGAGATGTAAGTAAAAGGAAAGACACCAGTGCTCATGGCGTGGAAGACTTAATATTGCCAAACAAACAAACAAACTCACAGCCACTAAGTCAATTCCATCTCGTAGGGACCCTACAGGGCAGGGTAGAACTGCCCTTGTGAGTAGCCTAGACTATAACTCTTAATATTACCCAAAGAAATCTACAGATTCAATCAACTCTACCAAAATTCCAACAGCGTTTTCTCTTTTGGCAAAAATGGAAAAGCCGATCCTCAAATTCAAATGGAATTGCAAGGGGAAATTCTTGAAAAAGATGAACAAAGTAGGAGGAGTCACACGTTCTTGCACTGTAAACCTACACTCATCAAAACAGATCAGAGCTCACATAAGGCCAGAAATAGAGAAACCGGTGGTCTAGAATTAGAGCCCAGAAACAAACCCACACATCTAAGGTTAACTGATGTGACACAGGTGCCAAGTCCATTTAATGGGGAAAGAGGAGCCTCTTTAATTAATGGTACCGGGACAACTGGATTTCCTAATGCAAAAGAATGAAGTGGGACGCACACTGCACACCATCGATGACAATCAATTTAAAATGGACCAGCGGCCCGCACGTAAATATCAACTACAAGACCAAAAGCACAGCAATCAATTAAACTGGGCTTCATCCAGTTAAAAAAATTATGCTTCAAAGAACAAATAATAAAAAAGGGTCTCAGGGAGGAGATGAGCAGTCAGGGTGCAGCGAAGCAACAATGAAACATACAACTTTCCTCTAGTTCTTAAATGCTTTCCCTCTTGCCCGCCCCCCAACTATCATGATCCCAGTTCTACCTTACAAATCAGGCTGGAGCAGAGGATGTACACTGGTACAGATAGGAACTGGAAACACAAGGAATCCAGGACAGATGACCCCTTCAGGACCAGTGGTGAGAGTGGCAATACCGGGAGGGTGGTGGGAGGGTGGGGTGGAAAGTGGGGACGGATCACAAGGATCTACATACAACTCCCTCTTTGGGGTATGGACAACAGAGAAGCGGGTGAAGGGAGACGTTGGGCAGTGTAAGATATGACAAAATAATAATTTATAAATTATCAAGGTTTCATGAGGGAAGGGGGATCAGGGAGGGAGGGGGAAAATGAGCTGATACTAAAGGCTCAAGTAGAAAACAAATGTTTTGAGAATGATGATGGCAACAGATGTAGAGATGTGCTTGATGCAATGGATGTATGTATGGATTGTGATAACCGTTGTACGAGCCAATAAAATGATTTTTTTTAAAAGAGCAAATAATAAAAAGACAGCCCACAGAGGGGAGAAATATCTGTAAATCATATCTGATGAGGGTCTAGTGTTCAAAAAATGTGTTTTTAAACTTCTATAGGAACAATGAAAAACTACAGTTGGGCAAAAGACTTTAATAAACATTTCTCCAAAGTAGACACACAATTGGCAGACTGAAAAAAAGCTGGCTGCCATAGAGTCAATTATGACTGACTCATAGTGACCCTCCAGGACAGAGTGGAACTGCCCCTGGGGGGTTCTGCCGATTACGTCTTCACAGGCACAGATGGCCTCACCTGGTGGTTAGTGTGCGGGACCACCAGAGCTCCTTGAGATTTGCAAACAAGCACTGACAAGATAGTCAACATCACAAGTCACTGTCGTTATTCTGCTCCTGAAAGTCAATTCCCAGTCACAGCAATGCTACAAAGCAGAGGAGAACTGCCCCAAAGGGTTTCCTAGCCGCTGAGAACTTAACCATTGTGCTACCAGGGGTCCTTAACTCTCTGCTATCAAGCAGCTTTTGACTCACAAGGACCCTAGAAAAAACAGAATAGAACTGCCCTTGCAGGCTTCTGAGACTGTAAACCTATGGCAGTAGCCGGCCTCATCTCTCCCACAGAACAGCTGGCTGGTAGTTTCCAACTGATGACCTCGCAGTTAGCCGCCACCAGGGCTCCTTAGGGAAATGCAAATCAAAACCAAACTGAGAGACCACTTCACCCCCAATAGGATGGCTTATATCAGAAAAATAATACAGTAGCGTCAACGTCAAGTGTTGGCAAGTATGTGGAGAAATTTGAACACACATGCATTGCTGACGGGAAGGTATAGCCACTATGGAAAAACAGTTTGGTATTTTCTTAAATAATTGAACTGAATTATCATATGACCCAAGAATCCCATTGGATGGTATATGCCCCCCAAAACGTTGAAAGCAGGGGGCAGCTAGATGCTTGTACACCAATGTTCACTGCATTGCAGCCACAACAGCCAGATGGTGGAAATAAGTCAGGTGTCCACCAACAGGTAGATGGATAAGCAAAATTTCCTATAGACATATCATGAAATACAACTATTCAGCCATGATGAGAAATGACACTCCAGTTCATGTATCACTTGGCTAAACTGACTGACGTCAGAAAAACTAGTACGTAGTTACCAGAAGCGGGTAGGAGGAGAGTGACGGTGTTGGCTTAAGAAGCAGTGTCTCTCTGAAGGGTGGTGAGAATGTTTGGAAATGGGATGGTGGTGAACTTAACTGTATGGGAAAGCAGTTGAAGTGGAAAATGGTTTGTGATACAGATTTTAACACGCACACACACATAAATGGAATAGAGTTAGGGGTCTGTCATCCATCTGGAATCTCAAAACTGTCCCTTCAGAAGGTACAAGCTCCTCTGAAAAGCCGGCCTCTCTGCAGGTTCCCACCTGCAGGCCGCCAGGTGGAAGGCCGCTGC